AAGCCATTCTAAAAACAGGTCAGGATACAAAACACAGGGCACAAGCTACCGCACAGCACCACTGATTTGTTTAATAAACAATGCTCAATGTCTTGGCTATTTAACAAAGAAAATTGACGTTTTGACTAAAGCTGTGAAAGATACCAGCCACCAATCTTTACTTTATATTGTGCTTAAAAACTTCATAGAGCACATTTAAAAACAAAAAACAAACGTTGACCCTCTTTACAAAGAGATTCAATAAAACACGGGAATGACCCACAAAGCAAACTAGTAGTAAACACTGCTGATCAAAATAGCCAAGCATTAATTTTTTTTTTTTTTTAATGTAGATCTTCTCAAAAAATATATAACATATTAACAGTTGGACTCATCTTTTTTTTTTTTTTTTTTTTCTAATGTAATTATTTTTACTATGGACCATTTCCCCCTTCTTACCAAGGCAGGGAACACCATTGCAATGATGGGAAACGTTAAGCCAATTTCCCTCGGGACTGTTATATTTATACTGAATATTTATATATATTTAATTATTATTAGCCTTGGGATTATAGATGAGGGGCTGTTGTCTGTCAAAGAAACTTTTAATGGTAATTTGCGCTAACGCTAGCTAATCTTAATCTTATGCCGAAGGCTTATTAGCTAACGCATAACGTTGACCCTAAAAAAACGATCAAGCGCTTTGTTTACTGGTTTGTTTATTTTAATCAACTTTAACCGCTAATGATACTATTTGATAGTAAAATACAGAAGCAGGGCACGATATATAGAAAACGAGATTTCATCAAAACAAGCGCTGACTTGACTGAAGTTCCGCCTATTTCCCAGTCAGGGAGACAAACATAGGAAATGCACATGTCTGCCTGTTCCCGTACTCTGCGTCAATGAATCCTTCATTCCTAAATAACAGAAGTCATCTGAAAGTAATATTTGCGTGGTTAATGTACCCATTCAATACAGCGCAATACGTTAAAAGCGCCAAGGGGGATCGCCAGTAAATAGTCGGCGCCATCAAGTGGGACGAACTAAATTAGCCGCCAGCTAACTACAAAAGGAGCAATGAAATCGTATGCTGTGCGTTTATGTAGCAGAACTGTTTATACCGATGTTACTTCGTTGAAGTGAAATTATTGATTTTTTAAAATCGGCGGACAAAAATACAGTTCGTCCATGAAAAGAAAGTCAGGACCACATGAACGAGGCGCTCATCAAAACCTGCTCACACTTTTTTCCCTCTACCAGCACAACTGTATCGTTAGCTGGTCGCTAACGGCTCCCTGTACAACGAAGGCCGCATCAAATAAACACAAACGTGCATGCTTATTTCGTCTCTTAAAAGGCACAAAACAACGCGAAAATATTTCTGCTGCAACCACACTTACCAACAGTGCCCCTTTTAGAGTGAAATCCCAATGATTATGTTATTTCTCCCAGCGAATTCTCCCCTGTTGTACTCATTAAAACAGCCAAGATGGCGCCAGTCGCCTTCCTCCCGCTCACCGCTGTCCTTTTAAAATCGGCAGGATGTTTACAGTCAAAAATGGCGGAGGAGGAGTCTGACGCCGACCGACAGCCCGCTGTGAGCACCAAGCGGTGTTAGGGGGCGCTGTGGCACAGTGCTTCCCCATTAACAGTATATTATGCTTACCAGAGACATGGAAGGTGCTTGACCAATAAATATGATTATGAAAAATTATAAATGATAATGAACCAAATGAATAAATAATAAATACATGTATTATTATTATTGATATTACATTGTGGTTGTATAATGTTGATTCCATTTTTGTTATCAACATCCACGTCCCACTGGGGTTGTCCAGTACAGTGCAGTACTAAGTGTGTGCACTCATGGTATTGGTGTCTGTACTCTGCTCCCATCCTAATCTTTTGAAAACAACAGATTCCATGTTGTAACACTGGTAGTGACCCAGGGCCATTGTGACTCACAGCCTGTACAACCCTGTCGAACTGTGGTGAAAAGTCTAGTTCCCACTAGACCTTTTTCACATTTTGACATGTCATAGTAGGAAAAGCACAGGTGAAATTAAACCAGTGCGTAGGATTCAGTGGCATCTAGCGGTGAAGTTGCAGATTGCAACCATTTGAATACAGCTCAGCCTTCTGAGCGTGTAGGAGAAAGTACAGTGATACTTGTGAATCTTGCGAAACCAACTCCCTCTGTAGATAAAAACAGCTCATTCTAAGGTAACGTAGACATGTTTCTTATTTTCAGGTGATTATACACAAATGAAAATCTATTTCTCTCAATAGATCATTCTAAATGTTACAAGCTGGACCTTTAATAGCATTCGTTGCTGGGTTCCATGGGATTTATTTTCAATTAAAGTAAATTTAAAGAAAAATGTAGAGAAAAGAGAAAAAAAATAATAGGTTACATAAAATTTACACAAGAATGAAAAATAAAAAAAATCAGTCCTTTGAACACTATACTCAGTGGGGAACTTCACATCCATGCAAACTACAGAAACAATTTTTCCAAACAGTATATTAGATACAGAGATGAGGAGAAACAAGCTGGACAGAGAGACAGACTCATCTACAATCAAATTGCAAAATTGGTATGTAGTAAAGCGGATTTGTCTCATAGGCTGCAGCATCTGTTGCAGTAGAACTGCTGCCAATTGAGCATGTTGATGATTTAGTAGCAGCAGGGCTCCATGTCACTATATAGGGAAGGCTGAGGTAGTGCTCACACAGCATTGGAGTAATGTTACATTTAGTTCTTATTATCAGCGTTGTCTGGATGGATTCATCAAATAAATTGAAGTCAAATTCAGTGAACAACCTGGCATAGCTGGATATCTACTGTAGCAATATACAGATGGAAAACAAGGTAAGGTCACAGGGCATTTGAGCTGCGTGATAATCACACGATAATAACACTGTCAGTAAGCATTTCTCACTTTTCAGTGAGGAATTAATTCCCTAAATGGATTTAAATGTATGCTCCAAAATCAGATCACCACTGTCAGCACATTTAATCATTGCACAAACAGGCTCATTGTGAGATTAATCAATTATTGATGTGTTCAACAATTGAAAGCTATGAATGGTATAATGAAAACTAAAATGGTGTTCAATTTAGAACTGGATGTAGATTTCCAATGTACATCCCTGACTTATGATCATATTAAATCAAGCTATTTTATTGGCAATTAATGTTTTGTGCAGCATACACCAAAATTGGCATGTGACTCATTTTAACACAATGCAGCACAGCCATGTCTGGATGGTGACACAGTTTTGAGCTGCCATCTGTTAAACAAGATAATTTTATCCAGATTGCTTTCTGTTGTTATCATCAACAGATACTTCTAAACAGCCTCAGAGAAACCTCTTCTATACTGATGCTTTCCTGCTTTAGATTAGCCACTTTGTTCACATACAAGGTGTGGGTCACAAAGCCCGAACATCTGTTTATCTCTACATACCAAAACAGGGGGTATATTATTATCAGCACAGCTGTATGAAATAAAACTCTCACTGAAGTATTCTTACATGCACACACACACACACACACACACACACACACACACACACACACACACACACACACACACACACACACACACACACACACACACAGGCTCAGAGGAAATGTGGGCTAAAAGTAGAGACAGATTTTTATCTAGGCGAATACTGATTGAAGAATTATATTCCTTTAATCCTGTAAAAGGAATTGTTTCTGGCTAATAGTGCCATAATGTGCCTAATCTTAATGTATTCAATTATGTCGCCCACAGGGAGCCCTTTCTACTCTTCTGTAACAAAACTGCTTTTCCATTAGGCGCTGTGTGACATTCAGTTGTACTCTCAATGCAAATGTAGTCTTCAAATTCTGTTTGTTATTTTTATTTTCATTCTTATTAAAAGTTATTGGTACATATTATCAGATTTAATTCGTGATGGGTTTCTTTTTATTTCTCATCATTATTTTTACCCCGATGAGCCTCATGATACATTAACACTGGCAATAAGGAGAAGAAACTCCATTCCAACAAATATCAGAGAAACATGTGGTGTGTTTTTGGTTGCAACCAGCAGTAGGGAAGGGCATGCATGCTGAGAGCCATCTCAACTCCAGATACACATCTCATCAGTAGGATTAAGAGACGTTAGATTGATTAGCATACCATTAAATCATACAAGCAGACTTTTGGCATTGGATAGGCCCCGCAGTGTAGTGAAGTTTCATCTTGGTTTATTGAAAATCACTTATTCCTACTCACTCCATGCCGCAAAGCACCTACACATCTGGATCTCTTGTGGTTTTTTTTTTCTGTTTTGGTCCCCAGACGTGACTGGACATGGATGTGGTCTTGGTGTAACTGTCCAAATGGTTTTCCTTTTGGTGTGTCACTAGATAATTTACCCTGTGTAGGCACTGGCCCAGTTTGTACATATGTAACATCTTTTTTGCTTTACAAGTTTAGCCCAGTTTGGGGTGTGTGTGTGTGTGTGTGTTTTGGGGGTAGTGGTCTCTCCTGTAGCTGTTGCTCCAGCTGAGTTGGCAGCTCTCATGCACCATGGGATCATCCTGGATAGATGCTGTTATTTATGCAGCGTGTCTAAACCAATCATCCTGACACAGATTTATGTAAACACAGCAGTTTCTTGGCATAGGATGAGGTTCACACACACACAAGGAGGAAGCTAAAGGTATTATTTAGTTTGGCTCTCCCTCAGTGGGCGCAGTGCATAAACCCAACATGCAAAATGTGTTTGGGAAGCCTGAAAATGGGTTGCCAGCAGGCCAGAGAGGGAGGGGGATCGGGATGACATGTAAAAATGGGGAAAAAGGAACTACTGTTTGTGTATCCAGTTGAGTATGTCTTTTATAGCACACTGTAGATTTTAAATATGTAACCAGTATATAAGTAATATAGTATTATTCAATATTTTTTTGGAAAACCACCAAAACAATTTCATTCACAAGAAATATAAAGTCAGACAAAAAACACACAAAAGACAGTCAATTTATATCAAACATTTTATTCCTTGATTTTTTTTTTTGTATTGTTTTTATAAAATTCTTTTACAAAACTGTGATTTTTCCTCTATCTTTCCATTTTAATTTCTATAAAATTAGGTCTGCAGTTACAGAAGAAAGTAAAGGAAGCCAGTAGAGATTCAGTGGAGACAAAATCCTGTTGTATAAATACTGTTTATGGGAGGATTATGTGTGTGTTACATGTATTACTATACTTGTGACAACCAGGAAGAGGGGTCCTCTATTGTGCCCTCACAAGTATAGTAATACAAGGCAGTACGCATAAAAAAAAGTTCCTACAACAGAAAAGGCAGGAATGTCAGAATCGGATGTGTGGTGATAAGTCTTAGTAGCACTCCAGTGTTAAACAATATCTTTTAGGAAGCCATTATGTGTTACTGGATATTGATAAAGAAAACAAAAAACAACCTACTATGAAATGAAAACAGGGACTTGCTCCATGCACAAGGCAGATGGGGGAAAAAAATTAACTAAAGCGTATTTCTTCTGAAGGCACATCAATATATAACCCCCTGCCCTCTGAAACAACAACATCAGGAAAGAAAAAAAAAAGATAGATAAACTGTCGTCTTAAATATTGCACCAAGTTCATTTCTGAAATGTGATTCTGTTTACGACCATATTCAGTTGTCTTGATAGCACTGTGCTTCAGTAATACTAGGATTGTTTGTTTGCTGTCAAACTCATATTACATTCTCACAAGTGTAAAATACCATGCAGCACCCTTCTCTGCTGATTTCTCAGTCTCTCACGCATACACTCTTTCATTCCTGTCCCCCTCTCTTTCCTCACACATTTTATCTTATACTGACAGGATATACTTCTAATGAACCAAATAAATATGAGAATGCATGGCATTCCTCATATCAGACGAAAATTATAAAAACAAAAATATATTTGATCTATTGGCACACATTGGGGTGAAAGGTACAGAATGGAGAAGCTTAGCAAAATGATCATTTATTTTTCACAAAACTGAAGCTGGAGCTACCAAAGGAGGCATCAGGGCAGGTGTGGTTAGATTTCTATATTAGTGTTGCTGGCTTTACAGGATACTTCATGGACAGGTGAACTTTGAGTTGATGATGCACAGTGATTTAAAAATCGCAGGTACACATTCTAGATTCATCAAATTAACATTTTCGGAGAACCTGATATGACATATCAAGGCAGAACTAAAATGAAGCGTGACTGTTGACTGACGTGAATGGACCCAAACACTTGTACTGACTAGTCATTTGGCCTATTGATCCATCTGCAAAAACCCAATTTCATGTTCCACTGACACGTGGCAATCATACAGATGAGATCCATGTCTCAAGTTGTGAAAAATAACATAAAAACGCATCAAGATGTTATTTGTGAAAAATGCTGAAATTATGGAACATACTTGAACATCCGGGTTTTACATTTTGCCTCTTGAATGTGGCCATTGGCAATCAGAATCTCTCAAAGCTGAATGGCTGTTTAAATCTGTGTTGATCAAACTGTCATTCTGCAAATATACTGGAAACTGAAAGTATTCTAATTACATGTATTTATGTTGAAGAAATAGCACAAATGAGAATAATTACTTAATAGAGCATATCTCCCGAAAGGTGTCAATTTCTACCCTATAACTTTAAACAGCACCACAAAAAAATTTTTTGCCCATCTGGTCACATTTGTTTATAACAAGTGGAAAAAATATATTTAATATGATGCCAACTCTGACTGCTTGACGCTACATGATGAAAGCAGTATTAGCCCATGTCAAGTACTTGTCAACCAGGGCTACTGCCAAACCTCACTGGACAAAATGAAATTGGGTCTATGGCATAGAGACAATAACCGTATAATAAATATCCCTCACTAACCAAGCCAAGAAAGATCCATTCTCTAGTTTTCACAGTGGTTTGTGTTTTAAACAGACCATTGGTTGGCTCAATTGGCAAGCTCAGCCTCCCTTACCCAAGGCAATTCTAATGATTCTCTATTGTTCTTCAGGCCAGCACACATTCAAGTACCAATTCTAGCTTGTCATATGTCTTTACCAAAAAAAAAAAGTAATGAAGAAGAATTTCTGTCTAAAATGAAAAAAGAGAATTCCATTGACTTTTTATGGATATCCATCCCCACGTAGCAACTTTATTGAGATTAAGCTAGTTGTGTAAGGGAAAAAAAAGTTCAAAATAACAATTTTCCATTAAAATTAGTGAGTGAAAAAATGTGAATGCTGACCTGAAGATCCATATTCCAATCCAAAATCACGAATAATAAAATAAAATCAAAAAAGCAGCAAGATCAAGGTGCTCATTTTGCACCATGTCCTTTTCTCAGACTCCCAGATCCAAACGCCATTAGACAAACTTGAGGCACTGTGAATATCAGATCAACCATCATAACTCAGTTCTGTGGTCGAGGGGTTGTCATTCCTCTCTTCACCCACCCTGCTATTGGTTTCAATTAAGACAATACAGAGAGTAGTGCTGGCCATTCATTCACTGTATAAAAAAAATAGCTAAACACAATCCCAAAATAGTGTTCTCCTCTTCATAGTCATAATTATCATTAATATTTTGTCAGCAAAAACTTTCAGGAACCTGTGCAGAATGTACAGAGCGGAGCAGTCTTTTTCAGTGGGTTGGAGTTGGTGGTTTGCCACTGTTGGGACACTGAAGCAGCAAGCTATGATTTCCAACAACTCCATGACTTTGACCACTTCAGTTCAAAGTTTTTAAGTCCTCAGGTGTCCTTCAGTTGGTTGTAGTCATAGTGTATATAGTGGGACCTGTGTGCTTAGCTATCCCCCAATACACATAGGAGAAAGGGTAGAAAGGATAAATGGGGGAGGGACAACCAAAGAGACCAGTGAATGTGGTGTCCTCCACAGCTGTTCTAGTTTATTTTCCTTCTCTCCCCCTGTACCCGATCATGTTTGTTTCTCCACTGATCCATCCATGGAATCATGGAAAGGCTCTGAGTTTCTCCATGTGTCCGCCCCCTCACTCTGTCTTTGTTCTGTTCATTGAGTGGGGGGCTCTGGAGGGTTATAGCCTCTCGATGTCCCTGTACTTCTTCCGCAGTATGGACACCTGGTCTTTGAACAGGACTGGGTCCAGCCTCATCTGAGAATGGACCAGGGGCATTGTGCCAAACCAGCTGGCAAACTTGTTCATGCAGGTCTGACGCTGGGCAAAATGGTCCGGGTCAGCCCAGCGAGAAGCCCGGGAGCTCTGGGGGTGAGACGTGGTGATAGGATGGGGAGAGAGGGGGGGAGAGAGAAAGGGAGAGATACAGACAGTGCAATGAAGAAAGAGACCGTCAGAATGAATAATGCATCACAAATTACTCTGACCTTTCAGAACCTATTGTAATTATTCATAAGGTTTTTTGTTTTTTATTGAAGGCCATATTGGAAGAAACCTAATTTCAATTCAAATTTACAAAAGACTGATGTTCTATTTTAACAGCCAACACTATCAGGGTTTAAGTGGTACGCTGTGTCTACAACCTACCAGCCTCTACAATAATCAGGAAGAACATGGGTCTCTGTTCAATACTCAGCATCATTAGGAATAATAAATGATTATGTGGGCATTTACAGCTCCGAGGCAGGTGTTTAAAAGAGGATCCACCACAATTTGTGAAAAGAAAAAAAACACCTTACTAGATATTGCCACTGTCAGGAGTGTTTTCTCCTGAGCGTAAAAGAATTTCCTTCATGTTTTTGAGTAGCTTCTTGTCACGAATCTAGGTTGTTGATGTAGTTGGAAGCCTTGTGTGTGTGATTGTATTTTGGGTCTGTGTGTGTAAAGTTAAAAAAGTATTGGGGATAAATTTAGTTAAGTTAATCTTCTTCTTAATTTGCCACTGGTTTTACTGCAGACATAGTGTACTTGCAGTAATTTCCCCACAAGTGATCAAAGAATTGCAAACAAAAGCTACCTTTTACAACTAGAGACATTCTTACTACTTTGTTTTTTACTGTGCATATGGAAGACAACTTAAAATATCAAGACCTCTTTGCTATCCTGGTTATGCATTATTCATTATATTGCTCTGAAATAGGGCCATCTATGCAGCCTCAATGATAATATATGGCGTTTTTCCATACACATGTGCTGGCTTGGCTGGACTCGGTTTGACTTGGCGCATCAGCCCAGCACGGCAGGGATTTGCATTTCCACAACAGGGCTACCCGCTTCAAATTGTGTCTTTACAGGCAGAGAGATCCACAATGGTCGAGAGAGCTCAAGATTGAATGAAAAGGGGGCCATTAACTAAGCTCTGCTCCAGGGATAAAAGACATTTCACTTTCTATAAATTCTTCATAATAAAAGTCTGCGGTTATTTTGTTACATAAACGCTTTTATTATGAAGCCGCAAAAGAAGTGTTGGTTTTCATCAGCAGTAACTTAACACGACTCCTATACGGCTGAGAGGGAGCAGAAAACTGAAAAATAAAGCAGATATATCGGCTGTACAAACAGGAGAGAAACAAAACTTAAAACCAAGGAGATTCAATTAATGTTTGTCTCTCTGCTCTCCCATACAGACAGGAGTTGAGTCTTGCATGTATTTAGAGGGGATAATGGGGTATCGTAGTGGGTTGGCCGCGCTTTGGCACTACTCCAGACAAAGTCCATCTAGGCACAGCTCGGCAGAACTCGTCACATTAAAAGTGGTAATGGAAATGCAAATCAGCACGGCATGGTTCGAATCGGCTTGGCCAGGATAAATATTCTGCCTTACCTGTCCCATCATGGTCTCCTTGTATTGTTTCTTCTGGGTGACCTTGATTGGTGGTAGTTTAGAGACTGAGGACACCAGAAAATTCATCAGAATGTCCTCACAGTTTGACATCTGGTCAACCATGGTCTTCAGACTGGCTGGAAGGTAGGTGGTGTACAAGTAGTGGTAGTATCTAAGGGAGAACACGAGAGTGAACGTGTTAGTACTGAACTAAATGAAATGACAGAATGTCATTTGAGAGGAGTGAAATATAGTAGAAGCAGACAGCAGTTGCGTTAGTACTTGTGATAGATGGCAGCCCCAGTCAGCACCATGGAGTAGTCGTTGGTCCATTTGGAAGTGTAGCCCCACCTCTCCTTGTTGCTATCCCAGAAGTGACTGCGGGCTGGGTAACCAACAATGCGGTCTGGGAAACTCTGCCACACTGTGAAGGCAAAGTCCACCTGAACAATGTAGAGACCAGAGAGAAACAAAGAGACAGAAAGAGGGAAAGAAGACATGAGGCCAAGAAACCAGGAACAGATCATTGCAGGGAACTACATAGATACATAGACACATAATAGTGATTATATAATTGTCAAATGTCTGCTGTTGTTTTTTGGAAGTCTGACCTCTGTAGTGGAGAGCACGGTGTCCTCATCAAGACTGAGCACAGCATCAGTGGGGATGGTGTCGTAGGGCAAAAAACGACTGCTTATCACCTGGTATTTGCAAAACAGACACATACGTAAAATGTTGACAGGTTGCTAAAAGGGTGTAAATACTTTTACCATGTGGCTGCAAAAATCAGTGTATAAACAGGGCCGTATACGCACAATCAAGGTAGATCTGCATGACAAGCAGGAGTACAAGTTTCTTCATGTTTGTCTGTGCTACAGAGTTGTTTTATCTTCCTGCATTAAGCAGTCAGCTAAATATACAAGCTGACATTACACCAATGACAGCAGAAATACAGCATTTCACTGATGAGCTAAAATCACAGATAGAAATCCACAAGCAGTGGAGCGCGCTTCCCTTCCTGATGAGCCCTGCAGACTCTGCTTTTTGGCATGTATCTATGCAAATAACTCTGTATAACAAGTGCTTATAAAGTGGTTTCCATTTTTAGAAATATGCACGCTGATTTAAATCCCAGTTATTTTATAACAAACAAAAATAACAAACACTTGATGAAAAGAGATGTACATTTTGATTTAACCACGTCAGATTTCAAGAGTCCAAAACTCAATATCTGTTATTGCCAATTTTGAAAGAAAAGAAAAGTACTGGTTGAAGACACCAAGAGATGGGCAGGAAACAGCAGAATCCACCATGCACTATGACCACTTTAACCACTTGGTAAGAAACTTTGGGGTGCCTGCAATTTTACATCCTGAATTGAATTGACCTGAAGGCTTCTAGTGTGGAATGTGAAATGACTGCAGTCTATGGGTTTTTTTGTTACCTTGCTTTCACCCTCTATAACAATAACAGGGACTGAGGTGGGAGGCCAGCGGTGCTTGGCAGGAAGAGGCTTGTCACAGTTCCACAGAATTATCACCTGCACAAATGGAAAACAGGTAAAAGGTTAGTTATCAATCTGAACACATGTCCATATTCATCTGCATACCTATGTATGCACACCCAATGAGAAATATGTTAAAATCTAAGTCTTTTTGGTGAATTTGCAAAATGCCAGAATATTGCTATTTATATATATATATACATACATATATGCATTAGTATTATAATAGCATCGATGTGGAGAGTAGTGTCGGGGTGGATCTGTTGTTGCAGCAAGGCTGGGAAATTATTTGGATAGCCTCCCTTCATCTCCAGCATGAATTAAATAATTAAGTTCAAAAGCAGTTCTAAGCCAACACCAGCACTTTACTGATTTGATAAACCTGAGAAATGATACTGACATAGCCAACAAAGCTGCTTTGCTTTCCGTTTAACATCTTAAAAACACTATATGGACTATGTGTCTTCATTTGCTAAACATTTATTAGTTCCATGAAACGTCAATTCACATCACGTCAGAACCAAATAGTAAATGTAGATCAGCTCAATCTGATGTGAGGTGAGTGAGTTGGGTTTTGAATTACCTGAGCACAGTACTGGGATTTGGCCACAGCGACAAGCAGCTTCATGACTGGCTGGGACTGGGAGACCAGTGGGGTCACCACGTGAATGATCGCTGTAAACTTCGGGTAGGGCTTAATACCTGAAAACAGCCAGGATACATCAAAAATCAAAAAAATAAGCAATTTAGATCTGTAAGGTAATATTTCAAGCACGAGAATGATCTCCCGAATTATCTTCAGTTGTGTGGAATTATCACTTGAACACGGAACTGCACCTTTTTGACAGCTTTCAGCATCTCTTAGTTTGTGCTTGTTTACTTCCAGCTGTTTACTTGGCATCCAGTGTAACTGAAAGGGTCTAATTAGGCTTGTAAAGGAAAAGGAGCCAGTTAACCAAATCCCAATGTCAATAACAAGCTGCATATCTGGCCAATTAACCAAGCACAAATACAACATGGCAACATGGCAAGTCTAATTGGTGAGCTTCTCTGTGACAAATCATGAATTAATAAAGATATACTGCATAACTTTTAGCAATGTCACCGATTCTCGTGTTAGTTTATGAGTATTCAACAGCTGTCACACACCAGCTGTTCCTGTGTTGTGGCATAAAATGAAAATCAGTCTATCAAACCTTAGGGTGTGCCATTAACGTGGGTTTTAGCATATAGCAGCATGTGCATGAATAATTAACTGACCCAGCTTAGCGTAGTAGAAGGGGAATTCTCCCAGGTATGTAGAGTACTGAGGAAGGGTGAAAAGGCCTCCAGGCAGACTGTTCCACATGAGGTTACTCCTTGAGGTGTGCTGCAGTACCCGGTCCTGGATGATCTGCATTAATAGGAGGGAAAGAGATACAAATTCATATAATCTGTAAAGAAGTCAATTGATTAAAAAAGGTAAATAATAATTAAATGTCCATGACAGTCCATGGTCCTCTGTGACACATAGAAAGAAAGCTCAGGCCCAGGCCAAGATACAGTATGATATACAGTGTACAGTGAGCTGTCTATAAATTAGCTTTGAGCCAAGATCTTCCATGCTCATTCACTTCAAATTAAGCAATAATTATGCCAGTTTTATATACTGCTTGGAAACAGATACTCTGGTGCCTCTAAAATTAACAACTGAAATAGCGAGTCGCTTCAAATAAACAAAAAACCTGCAGGCTACAAATAAAGTGGTTTTGGTTGTGCTTTCAGTATTCTGTTAACAACAAATTAATATCCTATTATTTAATTCTCCTTCCATTGTTTTCTTCTGTAGAGCTCATTTTAGTTCGTTATGTATATTTATTTACATTTGTCACTCCATTTAAATGAAATCGTATCACAATTCACACCCCTTCAATATTCAATATATTATGTATATACAATTCTAGTTTTCTTATTAGTTGGATTAAAGCTTCACTGACGACTACATTTAGAACACTACAACGAACTAAAGTGTTAACATCCATAAATACCCTCATTAGGAAAGAAACGGCTAAACATATATAATCCCAAAATATCTTTTCCCATTCTATCTATTCTATCCATCTATTTCCTTATAAAAATTAAATGAATAAAGAAGTTGCAAGTTGTAGCAGCTGAAAACAAGACTTTGGTAACGATAATGCAAATCAGCTTGCTTTAATTTCATTTTGACATAGACATAATGTGTTCATGTAAAGAAAAAACAAATATAACTCGATTGAAATTGACAATTATGACTTAAATGCAATTACTCTGGCTTGGCTAAATTGGCAGGCATGGCTTAATTGAATCACCCTTGGTCTGTCATCTGTGAGCATGGAGCAAAACTACCTGAAAACACAAGCAGCTATGAAGAAGTTCAATCAGTTCCTTTGGCTTATATTTTACAGCCAAAAATGTCTTCACTTCATAAGCCACTATATTCATTAGCATTTTAGTTTTTACAATGGGTAATCAAAATGTTTACCATTCAAATTATGCTGTTATGTTTCAAGATACCCCTGAAACGGTATCAACATTTCAGTTAAAAATAAAGTGGGTTGCCATCAGCTGTTCCATAACTCCCAAATTTACAAGTTTACTGTTTGTTTGGCCCAATATCACATACAATGTGTGAGCGAGCGTTATAGGCCCACAGCATCAACTGCTTCTCACTACACCCCAGCTTTAAGCAGAATCTTACACAGTGAGAGGATATCTTAATAAAATATTAAGCATTCTCTGAGCTCTGGGGTAGCGACAGAGCAAAGTAAACACTGTTGACTTCTTGCAGGATATTGTTTACAGTAAAATAATTTTACACTAATATAAGCCAAAACACTTAATAGTCTTGTACTATGGCATGTGTTGAAACAGAGTTAAGATAGTGACATTGTAAACAGATCGAAGATCAGCTTCTTGGGGGTGTAACTTTACCCTGCTGACAGAGAAATCCCAGCTCTGCTTTCCAGTGCCCTGACTTCCTACCTCTAGGGACTAGGCCTCTGTAACCCTATCTGAGGACAGCAACTAATGGTGTAAACTGCAGTCAGCAGTAAGACTTGCATGTAACACAACTGAAAGTCAGCAGTACTTTTCCAATTTGTTGCTTTATAATGAAATAACAAGATTCAAACATTCATCAAACAAAATAAACATCAGCTACAAGCAAATCATCGATACATTTATCTTCTCTATCTGTCACTACCACCCATTATTTAGGTCCATTGCATTCAGAGATGCACAGATACATGACTTGGAATGCAGTGAAAAATCCTGCCTTACACATTCTGCTTATCGTCTTGGTCCCTTATCCATTTTCATTCCTCCTCATCTTTGCTTGTTTGTAATTCTAGCTCCAGAGCAGTATGCTAGCCTGCTACTCACCGGGAAGAATATAGATTAATGGACTCTTGACAGGAACAAACTACTGACATGATTGATACTCAAGCCAAGCCTCAAAAACATGACAGCAGATTTTAACAATATATATCATCCCTCTTGGTTTTTAGTCTAGTGTGGAGTAGTTATTGTAGATATTATGTCTACAACTACACACTGTGGATTTGTAAGTCTGTCAGTACAAAGTTAATAACTAGGATGAACAGAACTGAGTGACTTACAAAATCTGTAAGAAAGTGCAACAGTTTACAGTAGTTTTAAAATGGCAATGAGATTTATTAGAGTTAAGTTTTTTTAAATTACATATTACATAGCCCTTGCATGTATGTGTATATAGAGACATTTTCATGTATATGTGTGCAACTATATTGTACGTATGAAGATGAACATGTGTGTACCTCCAGTGTGGTCAGTACGATCTTCTCCACAGAGTTGAAGTAAGCCTCCCATAGGAACTGCGTCTGCTGTCTCAAGGACAGGATCTTATCCTGATGGATGGAGCGCACCGTTGAGGGAATCTGAGGCAGAAGTGAACACATGTTAGCATATTTAAATGAGCCCAGACAGAATAAAAAACAGACAAACATCTGTAGTCTACACTGGATACTATAGTTTAATCCTTAAGTGACAGCACACTGCATGTGAACGACTGTGAGAACTGCCTATAATAAATCCACTGAGTGAGTCTCAGCTGTCATATAAAGTAAATCTGATACAGGTGGACTGGATGTTTAGAAGACAGTGGACACTATGTAGAAAATAATAAATGATGTCCTTAAATACAACACCATGTAGCAATGTTGATTCCAAGAGGCAAACACACTCTTTAATGACTCCACACATATTGGGTGACAAACATGCAGACTGGAATAGGACGCAAAGAACACGTGCACACTGCAGATGCATTGCCAACCCTTTATAAAGATCAGGCCTCATGAAAACCTTCTGTGGTCAAAAAAACATGTAGTCATACTAAGAGAGGAACTGGCAATGTGACAGTAGTGTGGAGATAGGCTTTTCTTTTTACTTATAGTGTTGACAAAACTAAACCCAGCTTCAGACTCGTGTGAAGTTTATACCTGTAATAGCAGCCTTTCATCACCAATCACAGCTGCTGTGTTCCAGTCGATGATCTCTGAGAAGGGAAGCTCCCAGCCATTACTCAGCATCACTGGCACACAAGCTGCCTATAAGAGTAATACACAAAAACACACACACAAAAAAACAGTTGATTAATGAGATAAATGTGTTAAGTTTGTCTATCTGCAGGCAATAAAATAAAGACAGACTGGAAACAAGAGAGAAATGAAAAAAATTACTAAATGGCTTATGCTCTGCAAACCAAAGCCATTACTATACAAGGTCCATTTCCCAAGTAATAAAAATCAGGCAATTTAACCAATAGGGGCAACTCATCCTCCAACAGATTTCCATTAAGTAAAGAACTACTGCAGCACCTTGATGAGTAACTCTCAAAGAGACTAGGCAGTGCGGCTCCATAAAACTGAGCGCTCAAAACATACTTTTAAACCATTTTAAAACATTAAACCACTGTGTCTGAGAGATTAATTAAAGTGTGTTTGTGCTGTAAGTTCAATGTGTTTGTTTATAAGAGTTGGATAGCACATGCAGCATCCTGCCAGGAGCGACCGGCCCTATAATCTGTTAAACGGGGGACCATTCACTGATTGGCTTTGGTCACTACACATGCACACGCACGTCCAGGCACAAACCCCTCCTGCATCAAAGTGCTGCAGTGCTCATCTAATCTCCTCAGTGTCATTAGCAAAGGCAGCAATCTGCTGAAATGCTCCCATGCTTTCCCTACCTATCTGCTCTCACAGAGCAATCAACTAGAGACTCCTGTAGCTCAATCCTCTCCCAACTCATCACATTACAACAACCATTCATTAATGAAACTCACTCCTATTAACTCCCTACATTTTGCAAACACACACGTGTAAGAAAGAACCTCAATGTGACTCTAGCCTGCTGCTTGTCATGGCACCTGCATTTCACAACCTGATCCTGCAGTCATCCCTTCCTGACCAACCCAGCTCTAGTCTAATCATTTTAACATCTCCAGTCTTCACTACTACCCTGCTTCCTGTCTGGCCTGTTAGAATACTCACTTGAGTCAATGTAACTAATACACATGCTAGCCTGCCTTGACCTCAACTTCCCAAAATTCTCAAGTGTCTGCCTGCCCTCCTCAATTTCTGCGCTCCTGCATAAGGCTCCGAATGGAAAGACGCACTAATCACCTTCAGTGTATGGCCGTGTTCCAGCCATACACTCCAGCCAACCTCTGAAAGCTACCTCAACTGCAGCTGCACTGCTTTCTCTTCTTGCGTTGGCCTGGTCATCAGTCCACTGCCTCACCTCGCCTCACTCCTGGCTCCCCAGTGGTGCAATTATCTTCCCATTCCAGTCAATAAAGAGTGTAAACTCAAAAGTCATCATTTCTATTCTACTTGCTCAAGAAACTCCCTCATCCATAGCCATTTCTCTACTATACAAGTGCTTACAGTAGTTGACATAAATATATAAGGTATGTTAATAATATATGATAACAATGTTAGTGAGGAAACTAACACCATGAATGACTTTGGTTGCTTTTGATTTTTAAACTTTTTCTTTATACATATTGACTTTTTGCAACTGCACTAATTGCACTGTAGGTCACTGGAGGAGAAAAAACACACAATATCTAAAATCTAATTTTACACAGGGGAAAATTATTCTCCTATATATATTTATTAAAATACAAAGATAATTTACAGTATGGACATATTCTCATACTGGTACCCAGTGTGTGTGTGAAAGGAAGAAGGCACTTGCAAGGCCTTTCATGAAGACAGGATGGCAAATTTAACACACCAGTGATTTATGCTCAGATACTGGTTCTCTTCGCTGGAAGCACATTACACACATATTACAGCACTACAGTCACTAGCAGTCCAACTCAGCCTGATGTGTTGGCAAACGTGATTAAAAACAAATACAAACTCATAGTTTAATTTGTTAAAGGGCGAAATTAATATAAATTCAACCATGTATTCAGATCCTTCAGGACCACAGTAATTATAACTCGTAATTATCCAGGAGAATCTTAAATTACTGTTTTATCATCATCTGGATAATTCAATTACATTAGCCTGCAGTGAGATTCACTGGCTAATAAAGCAACCTTTGTTATTTTAAAGAATGATTATATTTTAACAGTTCTTGTGCCCCTAACGGCTTGGAAACACTGCCCGCGAACGTCTTCCTTTTTATTTTGGTACTCATGTTAACAGTTTCGAGCAGCCACACTGCTCACATGAGTTGATGTGACAGGCACGGCTACAGTAACACTTGAACACTTGACTTGAAAATGATTTGTTCATACCAACATTAGCAGCAACATACACACTATTTCACTACATTTCACACTGTAGAATATATTACAGACATAAAAAAATATAATTATATAATTTTTTTAACTCAACACCACACCACAACACTGTATCCATTTCAGATTAAATGCTCTTTAGTGTTTATGTGGATAGAACCCATTCGTTTGTTAACAAGGCTTTTATGTTTTGTATTGTATTCATCAAAGGCAAACTCAATGTAAAAAGATGGAGCTGGCAGCAGCAGAAATGCTCTATGTAGACACCACAGGCAAGTCAAAGCAGTTCAGTGAGGTAAGCTGTCAAGCACTGCGCAGGCAGTGTGTCCAGTCTGTAAAATGAGGCTTGCCTCTACCTTGCCTAACAACCAAAGAAGATTCAACATCTTTAGTGAGTAGGCAGGTAAAGCGGGTTCAGTACTATTTGAAATTATGGACACACATTGAAGAATATACCAGAATTAAAAAGAGTAAGTGCAATGTAAGAGGAGAGGATGACTCAGGGAGGTGGGTGAAGAAACTCAAAGAATGAACTGAAAGGAAGAAAACAACGAGAGAAAAATGATGGCAGGGAGAGCAATGAATACACTGAGTCAGAGGCAGCTGTATCAACACTCTCTGCACAATAACAAAATGACTGGCAGTATGTGAGAGAGCTACTGGGAGTAACTCAGTACACTCAGACATCATTATTTCCATTCTCAACCACTGATTAGTGACTTTATTGTTTGGTCACCATAGCACAACAAGACTTCAAGTTCAACGTGTTTGGTCATGTTTATTCAGTTGCCAACCTTAGTAGACAGAATACACCATATCAGTCTAGGCACTTTGGACAACTGAAGCACTTTTAGCACAAGAATCTATGTGGGTCTCCCTTTGATTGGGGTTTAACTGAGTCCAAATCTAGCAGTAATTGCTTAAAAATATTTGTGACACAATCAGTTAAGAGGTGGTGCAAAGGTGGCTGCAATGACACAGCAAAGATATAAAACAGCATCAATTATAATTCCAGTAAAGTATTACCAGTAGAGTTGCACTTACTGTAATTCTAAAACTAGCTCCTTCTTTGGGGTTTTCGCTATATTAGTTCTTACTGAACAAGAGGAAAGATGGGAGAGAGACTTAATATGTACTGAAACCTAAAAGGCACAATCAAACTTTTGAGTCACCATAATGCAGCTGTTGTAACAGATTTCAATTTACTAACATCTACGCCTAGCAATAATGAGCCACATCTGTAGGTAAGTCACTGACCTGCAAAGCTTCTAAAAAGCGAAAGGAACCCAGCCGTCGTCCTCGAGGTACCAGACAGAAGGTGGAGTTGTACAGCATCTCTCTATAGTCATACCTGTAGAAGAGAGGACATTAATTTAATATATTTAATAACATAATTTGTACTCATACATTCAGGATACTAACAGAAGATAACAAGCACACTGACATTCATCAGTGCACTTGTTTATGTGATTTTACCTTACAAAGACTTACTGCTACAATGACATCTTTATATAAAACTAAAATGTTAGGAACACAGTAAATACCAGGCCCAAGTTTCCTTAAACAGTCTGAGAGCAGCATAGACGACAGAACAGAAAAGTCTCCTCTTTTTAACAATGAAATACCTGGAAAGTACATGGGAAAATCCCATGCTTTGATCTCAACTCCTCTCTCTTACCTTCTCCCAACCCATCTTTAAACTCCTTGCCCTCTCACCTGCACATCTCAACATCTCTCCTTTCTTCCCCACTCCCTCCATCCAATCTAAGCCTCAGTCAGCACTTGCTTGGATTAAGGAGCTGCTTGGAATTCCTTTAGTGTCAATATAATACGTGTGCCTGTGAGAATGAGCGAAAGAGTGTGCATTTGTACTACTTGTGCACATTTTAGTTCTCAGTGTGTTATTGTAAACAAGCCTTCATGCAAATTTATGCTTGTATTAAAAAAAACAAAACAACAACTTTTGACCATATTTGCATGAGAATGCAAATATGAATGTTAAGGTGAGTGATCATTTGTGTACGCACATCGTCTGTTCCTGGGGCTATTTTCCTTTTCCTCTTCTTTACTGTAAATGTGTATGTGCATTACGTATGCCTTGCCTGATGCCTGAACTGATCCACTTTAACTCTATGGGTCACCGCACAGCCAAGACACATGTCAGCTTTATATCATGTACAGGGGATAACAGCAGTGCACAGCCATATAGAGGTTCATATAAAATAATATGATTATAATATAAAGTATGACATATTTCCTCGCTATGAGTGTCTATAGTGCAGACACTCAAGGTAGCCAATTGAGTTTATGCTATAGAGCAATACACAGTGTATTAAAGACATAAGGCACAGTTGATTCCCAGATCATTATTTCTGAGCTATCTTAAAAACTACAATACGTCACTGCTGAAATGCATGCATGAACTACAGAGCTGTACCGCACAATTCCATGTTCCTTATAAGGCTGCTGGTTTTGTTTTTTTGCTAATGAGTGTTTATGAATGTATCTGTTAAGAAGTGGTTCCATCTATACTTCCTTTCATTAAGCAAAGACCACAGGATAGCAGGACAGCTGGAAATCAAGCTCTCATTAGCTTTAACATTATGACGCAAATGTTCAATCAAATATCTTCCTGGTCTTTTTGGAGCGATTCTACTAAGCATCAACAATACAGTCACAAATGAGTGCAAAGTTAAATACCAAGTGCAATTTTGACTCAATGATGATTACATAATATCTATCTGGATAATCCCACTTTAGAATACACATAGCATTTACAATTAACAACCACTAAAATGAGTTTGGAGAAGATCAACAAAAAACATAAAAGCTACAGTTAAAAAGCTACAGTTAAGCTTGGTGCCATCTATAGTACTACATAATAATGTACTCAGAAATACACCATCAATGTAGCTCATACTAGGGGCTATTATAAATAATACTACAGGCTAGGTTGTATCACAGATGCTGTTCTGATCTGTGCATCCATTATGAATCAACAACTTGATTCATCAGTCTGATGCCATCACAGATAATGCTAAGATAAGCTATCATTAGGTACAGCAAACAAATAATTTAGCCAGAGGCATGTAATAAGTGACCATTTTGTAAGCCTATAAAAACAGAAGTATAGTTCCATATTTCTTGGCCTGGCTGGGTGTAAATCACCCCTCTATCACATTTCCTGTGAGTGCAAACTCAGAAAAGACCAGATGTTACTCTCCCTGCATACCTCCATTCTTCTCTACTCTTCCAGATGGCTGCTTGTGGGGAGGAGCAGTCTCACAGTATGCTACCGCATGTCAGTGGAGACGTTAAGGATGCGCGTTCAAAAATATCTTCTTCATAAACTAACTCCTGTCTTGGTATGCATTTTTCTGTTTTATTTTTCCCAAACTGTCAGCGAGGACTTTGTCATACCCTTCATCACACGACAACGTCAGCAATTAACTCTACACGATATGAGGCAAATCCTGCCTTGGCCCATATTTTCAGTGCTCCAACATGCAAATGGCTGCTGGTGAGCAGAGCAGTTTGTCAATAATCCCACCATTAAAGTAATGAGCTTGAGTCTGTCCTTTTTGCCACTTCCCTATTATGACATCATGAAAAATACTGGAATAAATACTGAAATAATGCAATTAAAAACTACAAGAATAGTAACAACCATGTAACAAGCAACAAAACAGAAACTGATGGATCTCAAACAGATGTTACAGATGTGGTTATTGCTGTTTTGGAACCTTTTTGATGCAAAACAATGAATCCTACAGCACAAAACCTCCGCCTGAGAGAATGCATATGGTGGACACAAACACACTAAGGATTTAACCTCAACCAACTGTTCAATCAGGGCGGCTGCACTGTTGACATTTCCTGACCATCCAGTTGCTCTTGGTGAGATACTACCATCTTTTAGAAATGGTCTTTTATATGAAAGTTCTTTTATGTGTTTGTGAGGGAGAAAGAGACATGGAGACAGGTAAGAACTTTGAAATCTTCTGTGTGTTTTAGAGGGGTAATGGTTTCTAAGAGTTTCAGTACCAGTGCTATAAGAAAGTAATTCTCATATACTGTGTTGACTGGGGTGGAAATACTGACTGAAAGTAGTGGCTATAATGTAGTAGGGGTGGGAAAAATAATTGATTCTTTGATGCATCGCGATTCTCTCTAGAACGATTCCGTCTCGATGCAGATAAGTTAATAATAGGAATTTTAAAAATTAAGTTAGTTCATGTGCTGCAACATTCTGTTCGCCTGCTGCAGAGCGCTACAGAAAACTCTCCTTCCTGCCTGCCGGTTCTCCGCCAACACGCATACACACCAAACACATGGAAATTGTTTACATCAAAAGTTTAGTGGCAACAAAATGGCATTTTGGGTTCTATGAGGTCGATGGGAAGATGGACAAGACCTACACTGTGTGTAAGGTGTGTAGAAGTCAAATTAAATACTTTGGAAATACAACCAATCTGCGAAACCACATTTCTCGACACCACTCAGAGTTTGGGGGGGGGGGCCCGTTCCTGATGGCAGCCAGAGGACAATTGAGCAGGCAGTGGCACAGCTGCCACCGAACTCTTATGGGCCAAACGGATTACTAAATCCATTGTAAAATTTATTGCAATGGATTTAAGACCATACTCCGTCTGTGATAAAATTGTGTCGCATAAAGGTTGTTTTTTTTGTCTCAGGAGGATTTTGTGTTTGAAGTCGAATTCTTATAATTGACTAAGAGCAGATTTTCTTTAATGACATAGAAAAGAAAGATTATAAAGAAAAGAAAAAGGAATCTTTTTTTTTACAGACTTCCATATTGTGTTAAAATGCAAGCTGCATTGTTCATTGAAAGTCATATTTGTGACAAGAAAAGCTTTTTCTCTAATAAAATATAGAGAAGGTAATTCATCTGTTGATTGTCTTCAATGAATATCACAAAAGTAGTAGGAAGTGATTAGCAAACTCTGAGTAGCAAACTCAGATGTATACATAGAGGTGGGCGATATATCGTTTGCGATAATATCGTCATTGTTGTTTTGACGATGTGCAAATTTCCATTATCGAGTATTTAAATTACTTCGCCAGAAATATTGAAACGCACGCGGAAACTCCTCACTTCCACTTAATACACGGTGCAGCAACGCTCTCTACAGCATGGCAGGATTCAGTCACAGGACTAGTGGGCCTACGTGATCACATGGCGTGATCATGTGACCTCTTGCAAGCATCCTCCTTGCAACAGTTTAGCAGCGCGTTGTGATGGTAGAGAGAAAATGCAAGCACCTCCAGTCCCTGAAGCTCCCGGTACTTCAGATGACTTCGTGCCGAGACGTGGGTCTACCTCTCTGGCATGGAAATGGTTTGGTTTCGAAAATACCTTTTTAGCGCAGCGCTCAGAGCGCTTCAAGTTTAAATCTGTTCAACTTTTAACACCGCTGGGCGCTCAGAAAATTAGTTTTTGAGCGCTCTCGGCGCTAAAAACGCGTTTGGTGGACACAAGCCATAACTCAGACAATTCCAATCACATTTTAATGTGAGGTGCCAAAAGATTCCCACACCTATAATGTGGGGGGGGGGGGAGTTTTGAAAAAAACATTACATATATATCAACATAACAAAAGCATATTCCAAAGATTGTGTTATCAATTGTTGTGGCTCACAGACAAGTCCTGAATATCTCTATAGCAAGAAAGACAAACTCTAGCTATAGTAGGGCCAGAGCACTGCAAGTTGGAACAAAGATCAAACAGGAAGAGACATATTGGACATTTGAAGTCTATTAGCCAAGTCCATTAGAGGGCTAAGCACGCACTTGTACAACTGTAGTTACTTATACTCAAGTAATGTCTATTTTTTTTGGTCAACTGACACGGGGGAAAGTACACAGTGACTGAATTGTCATGTGGATATAAACAATCCCTTCCATCTACAGGAGGAGAGCAATAACAAAGCAGTTTATTCCTGGTACACATATCATTCTTCCAGGTCTCTCGTTGGGAAAAACAGAAAAGGACCCAGCAGTAAATTGGTAAACCATCACCTTTCTTTGTAATGCTGCGGGAGATCTGTTATGATATGTTTATAAACACATTTACTCATCGATATAATGAAATGTAATTTATTAATACTGAAGGAAAGTAGTACAGTGTGATTCACCGAAATAGGAAAGAATAACAGGAAGTGAGCTGGGTCAAGAAAAAAAGATCAAGCAGTCTCCTAGCAACAAGAATGGATGGTGCGAAAAAGAAATGCATGGCTCACTCTGTCAAGTGCCTGAGGAGACTCAGAAGAACAGCCAAAGTGTTTGTCTCCCATAATCTGTGTATGAGACCACACACATTTACAACATAA